TGCCAGCACTTTTCGCATTTGCGGACAAATAGTCGCATATGCGACCACCGCATCTGTGGTAAGAACTTTGCTTCTGCGAAAATAGCCTTGCCCAGAAATCCCCGCAACTGTGGATGTCAAATCCCGCTTCTGCGAAGCCTTACGCACCTGCGATCCAAATCCCGCATCTGCGCTCACGCAGGTGCGCTACAAAAATCCATTTTTGCGGTCTTCCTCGCCCAGCTTCTTCTCGTTTTTGCAACTCCTCTTCTCGCTTCTGCTACCATCGCACCTGCGCAAACCAGCCGTAGGTGCGGTCATACCAGAACCAGCAGAACACAGCAGTGCAAAAATGAAGGAAAAATAGCCCCAAATCAATCTGAAACACGCCCGAGCCCCTCAGGTCCCCATCCAAACATACCAACAAGTCCCATAACATAGCACGGACCTACTCGAGGCCTCAAAGTACACATAACAACATCGAAACGATGAATCACGCCTCAATTCAGAAATTGATGAACTTGAAACTTCAAACTTCCACAACCGATGCCGAAACCTATCAAATCACGTCTGATTGAGCTCAAATTTTGCACACAAGTCACATTTGACATTACAGACCTGCTCCAACTTTCGGAATCGAAATCCAACCCCGATATCAAAAAGTCCACTTCCGGTCAAACTTTCCAAAATTCCAACTTTCACCATTTCAAGCCAAATTCTACTACGGACCTCCAAATCATGATCCGGACGCGCTCCTAAGTCCAAAATCACCCAACGGAGCTAGCAGAATCATCAAAAATTCAATCCGAAGTCAAACCTTTCAAATTTAAAGCTTTTAGCTGAGAATCATTCTTCCAAATCAATTTCCGAATAACCTGTAAACCAAAATCGATGATTCACATAAGTCATAATACATCATACGGAGCTACTTATGCCCTCAAACAACCGAGCGAAGTGCAAATGCTCAAAACGAACGATCGAGTCGTTACAGTTATAATTGGGTTTTTATATGGTAGTGGGAAGAAATATAGGTTGTTGGATCTATTGGGGATGAAGGGTTGTGATTTAAAAGGGAATTGTGACGGGCAGGCAGGTCGGCTAGGTTTAGGGAGTTGGGCTGGGGCGGATTTGTGAGGAATTGGACTATTGAGAGCTTCTTTGGCCCAAATTCAATATAAAACCCAACAAACAACCTTTATTTTTCTTGTTTTAATGTTTTCTAAATTAACCAATTTAATTCTAATTAAAATTAACTTTGCAGCATTAACCAAATTACCTATTTTCCTAATTGATCAATTATTTAACTAATTAACTTATTAATTAAAATTAAAATGCTAAACAAGGAAAAACAAACTAATATATTTTTGTATTTTAATAATGCAAACTAAATGTTAATAATGCAAGTAAAATGCAAAAAATCAAAAAAGAGAAAATATATTTTTGATCATTTTCGTGATTTGAAATGCTACTAAAACATGTTAAAAGTGCAAATGAATGCCAAACAAATAAAAATAAAAATTCCTAAAATTCTACAAAAGTCGTCATAGGGATAGAAAATATAGTACATATTGAAGTCTCATATGGCTTCGTTTGACCACGAACGGGTATCCACCATACTTCCTCAATCCTTGGGCTTTAGCCCCATCCCCCTCGACGTTTCAAGGATAACTCTCCTTGCCAAACCCTTGGTTAAAGGATCCGCCAAATTTCTTTCGGACCTTACACATTCTAAGAAAATAACACTATATTTTAATAATTGTTTCACCGCACCATGTCTAATGCGAATATGTCTTCTTTTCCCATTGTACACACTATTATTGGCAATTCCAATTGCCATTTATGAGTCATAATGTAAAGACACTGGTGAAGTTTGTCTTCCCCACAAAGGCACGCCTGCCAATAAGTTTCTCAACCATTCAGCTTCTTTCCCTGCTAACTCAAGAGCAATAAATTCAGATTCCATGGTCGAACGTGCTATACAAGTTTATTTTGAAGACTTCTACGAAATAGCACCTGCACCCAAAGTAAACATATAGCCACTAGTAGAGCTAACTTCATCATTGTCAGTAACCCAATTTGCATCACAAAATCCTTCTAAAATAGCAGAAAAATTATTAAAATACAAACACCAATCCATAGTACCTCTCAAATACCTTAGCAAGCGATGAAGAGCATTCCAGTGTTCACTACTGGGGTTGTGAGTATATCTACTTAATCTACTAACAGCATAAGCAATATCAGGCCGCGTATAATTCATGAAAAATATTATACTACCAATTATCTTAGCATATTCAGTTTGAGAAATATTAGATTCTTTATTCTTTCTCAAGTGTATGCTAGGATCATAAGGAGTTCTCATATGAGCTGCATCAAAACAATCAAATATTTTCAACATTATCTCAATATAATGAGACTGAGACAATGAAAAACCATTAGTAGTTCTTTTGATTTTAATACCTAAAATTTACATCTTCTTCTCCAATATCTTTCATTTCAAATTTAGAAGATAACAAATTCTTATTCTCATTTACAATATCCACATTAGGGCCAAAGATTAGCATGTCATCCACATACAGGCATATAATCACACAATCTGATCCTACCATCTTGGAATAAACACAAGTATCATATGCATTAACAACAAACACATTATCTACTAGCGTGCTATTAAACTTTTCATACTATTGCTTAGGTGCCTGTTTAAGACCATATAGATACTTTCTCAATTTGCATACTTTATTCTCCTGTCCTTGGATCACAAAACCCTCAGGTTGAGTCATATAGATCTCTTCCTCTAAATCACCATTTAAAAAAGCCATTTTAACATCCATTTGATGTATCACTAAATTATGAATAGCGGCTAAGGCAACAAGAGTTCTAATAGTTGCTATTTTAGTTACGCGAGAATAAGTATCAAAGTAGTCAACGCCTTTCTTTTGGTTAAAACCCCTAATAACAAGTCTAGCCTTATATTTCTCAATTGTACCATCAGGTCTCAATTCCTTCTTAAATATCCACTTGTTACTTATGGGTTTACAACCTTTAGGCAAATCAGACAAGTCCCAAGTGTGATTAGAAACTATAGAGTCTAATTCACTTTTAATGACCTTTTTCTAAAAATTAGCATCTATTGACTTCATTGTTTCATCATAAGTCTTAGGGTCTTCTTCTATTAAATAGGTAGACACTAATTTATAATTCAAAAGATCAAGCTCAATATTTTCAGTCAAGAAAGTAGTGATAAAGTTAGGACCAAAGCTAGCTTCAATTCTACGCCTCTTACTCCTTCTAAGTTTATTTTCATGATCATTAGCAGTAATACTAGAAGAAGGCACCATATGAGAATTAAAAGATATAGATGTAGAAAGTATTATTAGGTACATCAGTGGGAACATTATAATTCAATGGAAAAACATGCTCAAAAAATCATGCATCTCTAGATTCGCAAATAGAATGATCATTCAAAGATAGAAATCTATATGCAGTACTGTTTTGAGCATAACCAATAAAAGCGGTATCAAAAGTCTTAGGTCCTATAGTTACTTGTTTAAATTCATGTAGACCAACTTTAGCCAAACACCCCCACACTTTTAGAAATTTCAAGTTAGGAGCAAATCCTTTCCATAACTCATAAGGAGTTTTATCTAACTTCTTATGAGGAACTATATTAAGAACATAACATGCAGATAAGAGAGCTTCCCCCCACATCTTGTCAGATAAACCTGAACTCAAAAGCATAGAATTCATCATTTCTTTAAGGGTTCGATTTTTTCGTTTAGTTACACCATTTTGTTGGGGAGTATAGTGAGCACTAACCTCATGTATAATACCATTTTTCTCACAAAAAGCTTCTAGAGTATTAGTACTATATTCACCACCCCTATCAGACCTAAGTCTCTTGATTTTCCTGTCTAATTAGTTTTCTACTTCTGCTTTATATTTTAAAAACATGCTTTTAACCTCATCCTTAGACTTAAGAAAATATACCTTAGTGTATCTCGAAAAGTCATCTACAAAAGTGTAGTATTTTTTCCCACCCTTACTAACAGTATTCTTAAAATCAGCTAAGTCTGAATGCACTAGTTCAAGCAATTCTGTCTTTCTACTAGTTACATTTTTAAAAGGCTTTTTGGCATATTTTGCTTCTATACAAATAGGACATTTAGAAAAATTATCAACATTAATCGCAGGAATTAATTCTATTTTTTAAGTCTTTTTATAGAAGCAATATTAATATGACCTAGCCTACCATGCCACAAATCAATTGACTCGGCAATATAAGCAGAATTAAAAGTACTTGCATTACTAGTAACTAGTAATCTCTTGAACAATATTCAGTACAAATAAACCTCCATTGAGGTAACCCTTCCCAACAAAGTCTCCTCCACGAGAAATACAATTTTATTAGATTCAAAAACAAGTTTAAGGCCTGCTTTGTTGAGAAGTACATCAGAAACTAAGTTTCTACGAATGGAGGGAACGTACAGAACATTGTTCAAGGCTAACGTTTTCCCAGAAGTTAACTTAAGAAGAACTTTTCCTTTACCCATAACTCCTGCGGTAGTGGAGTTACCCATGTAAACACACTCGCCATCAGTAGACTCCTCAAAGTCATGGAACAATTCCTTGTTGGCGCAGAGGTGCCTTGAAGCGCCTGTGTCCAGTATCCAATCAGTCTTGTTAGCCACCATATTTGCCTCAACGACCACAACAGCAATCACATCACCACTTTCAGTAAGGTTAGCTTGGGGTGGAGTTTTCCCTCTCTGCTTCGAGCTTTGTCCTTGTCTTTGATTGCACTGGAAAGCCTTGTGACAAATTTTTCCACAGACATCGCAAGGTCCTTTCGACTTTTGGATTTGGCCCTCTGGTTTATTGAAGTAATTCTGCTTTTTTACATATCCTTTCTTCTGGTCTTTCTTCTGTTTACTTTTAAACCTGTCTTTCACAAAAGTACTAGTAGATTCCATAAGGTTAGCTTTAAAAGAATTAAGAGAGAGAAATTTCATCTTATCCTTAAGTCATTCTTCCTCCTCATCTTTGAGACGGTTTGCTTCCTCAGTCCTCATGTGACTGATCAATTCTTGAAGAGTTAAGTTTTTTTTCTTGTATTTCAGTTGATTCCTATAATCACTCCAGGAAGGTGGAAATTTTTCAAGCAGAACATTAGCTTGAAGAATCTCACACATCTCCACGCCTTCGTTCAGAACATCAGTAGTCAAATTCTCATACTCGTGAACCTGCTCCGTGATTGGCTTATCATCAACCATCTGAAACTTGATCCACTTTCCAACTGCATACTTCTTTTTTCCCGCATCATTCGCACCGTATTTCTTCTCCAAATTGTCCCATATGACTTTAGCAGATTTATAATTTATAAACAAATCAAAGAGAGTATTAGTCATATGGTTAAGCAGATGCCCTCGAACAGTTTTATTATCCTTTTCAAATTTCTTTTTAGCAACATCATCAGCAACAATAGTAGCAGTTATATTAGAACTATCAGCAACATTAGTAGTATTGGAAACAACATCAGCAGGATGTTCGTTAAACAAAACGTAATCCACTTCTAATTGTTCAAAGAAAACTAGAAGTTTCTGGGACCAACACTTATAATTGTAGCATCTAAAGGCTCAAGCTTTGACAGATCAGGAAGTGTTTTGTTCAAAGTGGTAGCCATTAGTCAATATTATATACAAAATCACTTTCAAATTGTAAGAAAAATAGTAGATAATATTGACCAAGAATAGAAATAACTTATCGAATAAATACTGTGTCGTGGCAAGTCACTGCCTTGAAAGAGATTTCAGTTCGGACCGACTGGGTGCAAATCATTAAGGCCGGTCGCTCCCCAAGGTTCCACAGTACTTCCAAACACGTGCACTCGTGGCTGGAAGTTTGGATTTTGCAAAAAAGAATTGCCCATGAAAAATAGGAAGAAGAATAGTCTTTTGAGAGGATGAGAGAATAATGTTTTTGGTTGGAGTTTTAGCTTACAAATCATGATATTTATATAGGCAAATCATTTACGTTTTCTTCCATCAGAAAATCATAAGAGGTCAAATGTGAGTTAATGTTATTGTCACGACCCAAAACTAACCCTCTGTCGTAATGGTGCCTATCGTGGAACTAGGCAAGCCGACTCATTTCCAAAACAAAACGATATTTTTATTTCAAAGATAATTTCAAGGTTATTTAACATAAAAAACTCCATTTAAAGAGTTCAAATCAAAGAAAAACAGAAGTGCGAAAAAGAAAAGCCCGACATCGGGGTGTCACTAGTCATGAGCATCTACTATAATCTGTCTAACAATATCAAGGCTAACTCAGCCTAGAAAAATAGCTAAATACTACTAGAGGAAGATAAGAGGGAGAAGAGCAGGGGCTGCGATCGCCAAACAGCTACCTTGCTATCTCCAAGAAAATCTGTAACCTGAACACTCAATAACCGCTACCGTATCCAGCTACACCTGAATCTGCACACAAGGTGCAGGGAGTAACGTGAGTATGCCAACTCAGTAAGTAACAACAATAAATAAAGACTGAGCAGTAGTGACGAGAAATAAAGCATATAACGTTCATATCAGGAAAATCTCAGTAAAATACCACATGCTTTTAAAAACCAGGATTTGAATCAAACATCTCGTTTAAACCTAGTTCCAGTAAAAATCATTCAAAGACATTTTTCCAACAGTTTTTCAAACAAAGGCTCAATGCAAAGGTGAGCAAAAATGATGAAATCATAAACAGCCCCTCGGGCAAACCTCACAGTCACTCGTGCCACTCGGGCATACCTCACAATCACTCTTGCCACTCGGGCATACCTCACAATCACTCTTGCCTCCCAGTCACTCAGCACTCGACACTCGACACTCGGCACTCGGCACTCGCACTCAATAGGTACCTGTGCTCACTAGGGGGTGTACAGACTCCGGAGGGGCTGCTTCAGCCCAAGCGCTATAATCTGCACGGAAAACTCACGTGCGATAATAATAAAGTATGCTGC